TTCGCCTTTCGTTAAAAAGAAAAAAATGTCCCCCGCGGGGCTCGCCTCGTACAGTTCCTGCCTCGTCATCGCCCCGTGCCTCGTCCAGCTTTCAAAAAATCTCCCTCGCGAGGACCGCCCCGTGAGGGATCGCGGGGCCTCGCGAGGATCCTCGTCCATCGCCCACCTCTGGCGCACATGTCTGGTCGTAGGAACCATTTTCAAAATAGACATTTATATATCATTCGATAGCCCTTTGAAAGGGCTACATTTTCCACTATTTGTATTTGAATTAGGAGCAACTTCGATTTTTCACCTAATTTCCGCCTGATGCCCACTGTGCTTCATTCGTTCGGTGTTCCCTAGAGAGCTGTCTAAAATACGTTATGACTTTTTCTTCGATTTGATGTGTGTAAGTTTAGTAATCTAATGTAAGTCTAAAAAGTTTTCTTTCAAGGGTTCCCATGGGCAAACTTTTTTTTGAAATTTTATGGGAGCTAGGTCGGGCATGGGATGGGGTGAAAAATTCGACCCAATACACCGAGAGTCCTGATGGATACCAAACTTACAAACACTAGATAGGAATGATTTTGATCAGCATTAATATGACGAGAGTTGAACATAAAAAGAATTAAATAAAAAATATTTTGGGTCAAACATCAGATGATATTGAACAAGAATTAAATAAATTAGAACAATTCATAAAGAGAAAATTTATGATCAAAAAAGCTTGATGATAGTTTAAAATTACTAGATGATGCTGTTGAAGATTGGTCGGATGATATTGATAATATTTATGAAGAAATATATGAAAATGTACGAACACAAATTGTATATAAAAGACAAATAAATACCGACTATTTTAATGTACGTATGATATTCACTCATAAATTAATACAAAATAAATTTAAATGATCAAAAATCATAATTTATTCACTGATATTTATGAGGTAACGACAAATCATCGAACGTATTTTCATCGACGACATTTCGTCGAAAGATTTTTCATCGCACGGACTTTTCATCGCATGGACTTTTCGTCGAGCGACTTTTCATCGAAAGGTTTTTCATCACATGAACTTTTCATCGAACGACTTTTCATCGAATGACATTTCGTCGCATGAATTTTCCTAGATGAACGATAACCATAAAGAACGATAACCATAAAGTAAATAGGCGCACAAGAATAACTGAAAAAGTACTATGGCGTATTAGTACTAAGGCGTCTCAAAATTCGGCTTATATCTCTATGCACACATATCATACTGTTTGTTATGCTTAAAAGCAAAACATTCTATCGCTGTCATTTTTTTTAGTCTATTGCTTTCATTTTTTAATTATAATATTAATAATAATAGTAATAATCGTAATAATAATAATAATTTCATTATAAGTATGGCTAGTTTTTTATCAACTACTAAAGGCAAACGTTTACTGCGTTTTAATGGTTGTGAATATGTAACTGAAAAAAAGTCCGGAGAAAAAACATATTGAAAATGTAAAGATTATTGGTCAAAAAAATGTAACGTTCGCATTCCTACATCGTAATGAAGTATTACCAGTTTGTTTTGTTCTATTACCAAATAAGACACAAATTACTTATCAACAAATGATAAATCAGATTTCAATCATATGTCCTTTGTGGTTGCCGCAAACAGTTATGATGGATTTTGTAAAAAGCACCAATTAATGTATTAGGTGACGCATTTCCAAATATTCAAATGACCGGCTGTTTTTTTCATTTTCGTCAAACTATTCATCGCGAAATCCAAGAATTAGGAATGCAAAACGATTATAATACAAATGCTAGATTTGCTCGTCAAGCACGTATGATTGTTTGTTTAGCTTTGATACCAGTTGATGATGTTGTAGATGCATTTGGAGAACTATCTGATGAATTACCATTAGCATTTAAACCATTATAATTATAATTTCAACAAACATATATTGGTCGTACACGTCCTTGTAGAGCTAAACCTCAATATGATTTAGCATTTTGGAATATAAATGTTCGTATAACAGATGGTTTGGTACGAACAACAAACAGGGCTGAATCATGGCATGCTCGTTTAAAATCAATATTTAATTGTGATCATCCATCTATGTGGAAATTCATTCAACATTTACAACACGAAGAAAATTACATTTATACTCGTATTGTAAGGTTAGATGCGGGTGATGCTCCTGAAGCAGGAAAAAAGTATTTGGATCATACAAAACGATTACTTCATTTAATAAATAATCCTCATTCAAATATTATGGATCAACTAGAAAATCTAGCTCATAATATAAAATTATAGACAATTGTAGC